TGATTGTCAGATTTTATGGCAGTGTCCAGACTGTATGCCGGCTTTCACGTCGTTGGATCTCTTGGTTTTATGGAACTGTCTGCATAGATTCATGGCCGTTTTATGGCCGTTTCGTGGCCGTTCAGGGGTGACTCTGCAGTCAGTACATCGTTGGCCCGGGTTATTTGAATGTGGTTTTGAGTTGCATCTTTTTCCGTTCCAGCGTGGTAAAACAACGGAGCGAATGCCTAGATACAGATTGGGCCTTTGTAGGGTTCTCAAGGCAAGAAACATTCAGAGGTGGCTTGCCATTGCCTGCCTCTGCACAGCAACCCAGGACCTCCTTGGTGGTGTCCCATCCAGGAGCTAACCAGGGCTGACCCTGCTTAGTTTCTGAGATCTGGCGAGATTGCGCTAGCCTGGGCTAACCAGGGCTTGGTGCCTAGCATAAATGTGCATCCACAGACGGGGGCCACACCAAGGTTGCCAAAACAATATTGCCAGGAATGGGGACTTTCAGCAAGGAAGAAACCCAGGGGTGAAAAAGTACACAGCAACACAGGATAGCGTTAAGGGCCTCGGAAGCCCCAAGAACATCAGAAGATTCCTGATGGACCAGACCGGTGGTCCTTCTGGTCCAGCATCCTGTGGCATACAGAGCCCAACCAGTTGCCCTGGAGGCATAGAGGCTGAGGTCTTCCTCAGTCTCGGATGGCGTTCCTCCTGCCTTTTCCCCAATTACCTAGGTTTCAGATGTTAATGCAGTAAGGGAGATCTAGGTCCTTTCCCCATTTGCCTGCCACCCCAGATTTTCTCAGTGTTCAAGTCAAGGCAATTTATGTCCACGGCAAAACAGCATCCAAGTAACCCAGGGCAACAGCAGGCTGAAACCAGGCTGGCCACTGAAGGGAGGAAATGTCACGCAGAATGGGGGAAAAAACTGGAATAAAAAGAAGGTTGAGCTCAATTTTAGTGCAGAATGGAGAAAAAGACCTGGATTTAAAAGAAGGTTGAATTTGATTTCAGTGCAGAATTGCTTAGAGGACACTGCGGTGAACATGGCTTAAAAGGAGAGTGCAGAAAGGGCCTTAGGCTCAGAGGCAGTGTGGTGTAGATAGACACAGCGTTGGGCTTGCCACAGAGCTGAGCCAGTATTGTGTAAGGACTGCCACCCTCCAGGTGGAGCCAGGAGTTCTTCCAGAATTACAACCAATCTCCAGACAGCAGAGATCTGTTCCCTTGGAGAAAATGGGGCTCTGGGGCAAGTGATGCTCTGTCTTCTTGGTGCTTGGGGGGGGTCAACAGTGGGAGGGCTTCTAATGTCCTGGCCCCACTGGTGGACCTCCTGATGGCACCTGGTATTTCTGGCCACTGTGAGACACAGAGTGTTGGACTGGATGGGCCTTTGGCCTGATCCAACATTGGTGTCTCTTATGTTCTTATGACATTGCACAGGCTCTGTCCAACCTGCCACTGCAGCTCACTTCCTTGGTCAAATCTTTTACAGATGGGCACAGAATGTCCAGTGGAGGCACTGATAAATAAATGCTGTAGATTTATTACTTCAGTATAATGTGATGATGGATTGACCCAAAATGTGCAGAAATGTGGCAGGGATCAAAGCTTAGACTGGGGGAAATTTCTCTATCCTAAGAAGTCTTCCTCCAGCTTAAGTAGAAAAGAGCAAGAGTCCAGTAGCACCTTAAAGGCTAACTAAATTAGCCTTAGCAGTGACACATGAAAGTTCCTGCTCTGCCACAAATTTTGCTAGTCTTTTAAGGCGCCACTGGACTCTTGCTCTTTTCTACAGCTACAGACAAAGACGGCTACCCATCTTGGAGAAGTGAGCAGTGACCAATGCTCCCTCTAAGCCAGTGGTTCTCAACCTGTGGGTCGCGACCCCTTTGGGGGTCGAATGACCCTTTCACAGGGGTCGCCTAAGACCATCGGAAACCACAAATTTCCGATGGTCTTATGATAGCAACGAAAATAATTTTATGTTTGGGGGTCACCACAACATGAGGAACTGTATTAAAGGGTCGCAGCATTAGGAAGGTTGAGAACCACTGCCGTAGAGTCTTCTGAGCAAAAAATTCTACTTTGTGAGCTACTGGCAATAAAGTTGTGAGCGAGTGATTTGGCTCCTGCATAAGTTAGTTTGCTCTGGAGCCGTCCTCCCCGAGCGAAGACAAAAACGTGTGAGCTGGTGGCTCAAAGAACTGTGAGCTAGCTCACACTTAACCCAGCTTAGAGGGAACACTGGCAGTGACTCATGAAAGCTCCTCCCCTGCCGCAAACTTTGTAAGTCTGTAAGATGCTACTGGACTCTTGCTCTTTTCTACAACAGACAGACTAACAGGGCTACCCATCTCGATCTCTCTCCAGCTTAAGTAGTTGTTCCATTGAAGAAAGGATTCTCGGGCTGGAGGAAGGCTTCGAACTTTGCTCAACTGAAATGGCAAAGTAGCGGTAGGACCCATCCAATGGCATAAGGAAGATATTGGTGCTGGAAAGTTCCGTCAAGTCGCAGCCAACTCATGGCGACCACACAGCGTTTTCAAGGCAAGAGACGTACAGAGGTGGTTTGCCATCGCCTGCCTCTGTGCAGCAACCCTCCCCTTCCTCGGTGGTCTCCCATGTAAGGACTAACCAAGGCTGACCCTAATTAGCTTCCGTGGCCAACCACATCAGGGCAAAGAAGATATTATGGAGAGGTAACACCTCCCGTTTCTTCTCTGAATTCCGAATTCTGTTGGACTGCTTGATTTCATCACTTCCCTCTGTACCCAGAGGGTAACAATCCAGTAACGGTGTCGATTAGTCCACCAGCCCCTGATATTGCATGGCCTTTCACTTTCACATTGCGTCCCGTACCGAGGAAGGATCTGTCCACAAAGCACAGCATCATGATGTAATCCCATTACGCATAACGGCCAGGATTTTCTGCAAGGTTAGTTTGTAGCATCTGATGCAATGGGACTACTCTGTGCAAGAGGAAAGGAGCAGGGTCTTGCTGAGTCTCTTGGACATAGGAAGAAAGAGGTCATTCCTGATAAGAAAATTGTCTGCCTTCCTTTTTGATACAAACTTTTCATTAAGGAGATGCTACCTCTCCTCCTTATGTGCCTCTGAAGGATCCGCCGGTGTCTTTTGGGTGCTGTTGGGCTTGTTACTCTCCGTCTTGGATTCGTTCAAGAAACGAACCCCGGCCGACCTGAAAGTTCGACATATCTCATTTCTCGCATTTTCGCTGGCCAGCACGTAAATAAATGGGTCTGCGACACTGTTAGCGGTGGACAAACACAGGAATATGGTAGATATTTTGTTCTCAACCTTTAGGTGCCAATGGAGATGAAAACAGACAGCTCGTGCAAGCAAGTCAAAATGGTAAGGAGCGAAGCAGACCACAAAGATGGAGATAATCGCAATGGCCAGGTACTTCACTTTAGATTTCTTCTGCGGGCTCAAGCTGCAGCTGATTTTAATGTTTTGAAAGATTTTGTAGTTCGTGACAATGAGGATCGTGAAAGGGATGGCGAAGCCGACGAGGAAGCGGATGATGTTGAAGGTGGCCAGTTGGTTGTTGAGAGAGCTTTCAAAGCAGGTGGTGGTGTTTGGAGCCTGGATGTTGGGGTCGAAAAACACGGGGCTATAGATCGCAGCAACGATGGCAAAGAGGGTCGACGTAACCCCCGTGGCGATCCTCTGGTTCCGCAACCCTCTGCTCCGCAACGGGTACACCACCGCCACGTAGCGATCGATGGAAATGCAGCACAGGAGGAGAATGCTGATGTAGATGTTGCAGAAAAAGATGTATCCGATCACTTTGCAAGCTGTTTCCCCCATCGTCCAGCAGTGGCCGTTCTGCACGTAGATGATCCAGTGGGGGAGGGTGCTCAGGTACATCAACTCGCACAGCGACAGGCCAAACAGGTAGATGGAGAGAATGTTTCCCCTGTGGATCTGGACAGAGGTCAAGACGGCGGTCATGAAGTTGGCCGGCACGCCCACAGTAAAGACGATGCTGTACACCGCAACCAGAAGCAACCTGCTCTCTTCGTACAGAGTGGTCTGGTTGCATGTGGAATTGGGCTCAGCCATGCTGCTCACACAGGCAAGGCTGGTCTGGTTGCATGTGGAATTGGGAGGCTCAGCCATGCTGCTCACACAGGCAAGGATACCCAATGGATGCCTCCCTCATTTGGGTCTCTCCGTAGCTCTGAAAACAGAATGGAGAAGATTAATTTTTTTAAAAAATGAACAAGACGATCGTAAAGGGTATGACCTGACCAGGTCTGTAATAGTGTGTACATATGTTCTGTCAAGTTGCTCCACGTGAGGAGCTGTTAAGTAGTGGGTTCTGGATGCACTGCAGTGATCAGCTCTAGTTTATTCAGTGATTCCAGCAAACTACAAGGACACCCAGCAAGGCGTGATCCCTGCTTATAAAGCATGTAAACACCACACCCAACACACACACACCCCATTCCCAATGATAGGCAATTTACAAAACTTTACATCTTAATTGGTTTGCTCCAGGATCTTGGTGAACTATTGTTCTAAGGTAACTAGCTCAACCCGTTCCTGGTACAGTTTGAGGCATGGCTTAGGCTCATTACATAACAGGAGCTTTTAAGGCAAGTGAGAAGCAGAGGCAGGGGGAAGAAGGAGGAGGAGAAGGAGAAGAAGAAGAAGAGAGAGTCTCAGAGCGGTTTATAATCTCCTTCCCTTCCTCTCCCCACAACAGGACACCCTGTGAGGTAGGTGGGGCTGAGAGAGCTCTGACTGAGAACTGCTCTTAAGAGAACAGCTCTGAGAGAACTGTGGCTTGCCCAAGGTCACCCAGAAGCTGCATGTGGAGGAGTGGGAAATCAAACCCGTTGTTTTTTTTAAATAAATAAATAAACCTGGTTCTCCCAGCTTAGAATCCGTGTTCTTCACCACTATGCCGTGTTCTTCACCACTATGCCAAATTGCCGCCTTCTGCAGAGCCTTCTTTGGTTGGCCTCCCATCCAAGTGCCGACCCTGCTTAGTTCCCAAGATATGACGAGACGGGGCTATACCCTGCCACCTTCCCTCTCAGGTCCGCGATCACCTCACACAAAGTCTTGTTTAAATTGCCTCCCCAGTGATCCAAACTCTGTCCTTGCTCAGTACAGATTTGGAGGGGACTCGGGAATCCTGTAACCTGTACAAAAGATGCAACCAGAGCAAAACGACATCAAGTATTTGTGTATTTATAGAATTTCCCAAAGCGGTTTATAAAAATTGGGGGTGTTTTTTTGCCATCAAGTCACAGCTGATTTATGGTGACCCCGTAGGGTTTTCAAGGCAAGAGACGTTCCAAGGCGGTTTGGCATTGCCGGCCTCTGCGTAAGCGACCCTAGACTTCCTTGGTGGTCTCCCATCCAACTACCAGTTTGGTTAAGTGCGCGGACTCTGATCTGGAAGAACCGGGTTTGATTCCCCACTCCTCCACTTGCACCTGCTGGATGACCTTGGGCAAGCCTTAGTTCTGGCACAGCTGTTCTTGAAAAAAGAGCAGTTTCTGCCAGAGCTCTCTCAGCCCCACCTACCTCACAGGGTGTCTGTTGTGGGGAGGGGAAGGGAAAGGAGTTTGTAAGCTGCTCTGGGACTCCCTTGGGTAGTGAAGGGGGGGGTATAAATCCAAAATCTTCTTCTTCTACCTAACAGGCCCAAACATGCTTAGCCTCTGAGATCTGACAAGATCGGTGTAGCCTGGGCTATCCAAGCCAGGACCAGAATTTTAAAAAGCAATAAAACCTGAGATATTCAATGCAGAAATAAATAACATAATGCACACTGCCCTGAGTAAGAAATACGATAAACAGTAATGTTTGTTGACTGAATATTACCGTATGTGCAATCTGTGAATGTCAATCTGAAGGCATGCACACATTTCTGTGATGTGGTAGACCACACAGTATTTGTAAACCAATGCACCCTGGAGATGTAAAATTTCTGAAAGTTCTAAAGAATCGATTCCCCCCCCAGAAAAATATGGAAATTTGGGGGGGAATTAAAATATATGCATTACTTACCATCCTATCAAACCTAAACTAATGTTACTGTTTTAACAACATGAATTGCATGTTGTACAACTTAAAGGTAAAGGTTTCCCTTGCTCAAAAGCTAGTCGAATCCGACTCTAGGGTTGCGGTGCTTGTCTCCGTTTTGAAGCCGAAGAGCCAGCGCTGTCCACAGACGTTTTCATGGTCCTGTGGCCGACTTAACTAAACACCAAGGCGAACAGAACGTTGTTACCTTCCCACTGAAGTGGTACCTATTTATCTACTTGCAATTTCTTGCTTTTGAACTGCTAGGTTGGCAGGAGCTGGGGCCAGAGACAGGAGCTCACTCCATCACACGGCACTTGGGTCTCGAACTGCCGAACTACAGACCTTCCAGTCTGCAGCTCAGTGTCTTAACCTCTGAGCCACCTCTGAGAAAGGCAGGGTATAAATAAAGTAAGTAAAATAAAATATAGGTAAATGTAAAGGTTTCCCTTGCTCGAAAGCCAGTCGAATCCGGCTCTAGGGGGCGGTGCTCGTCTCCGTTTCCAAGCTGAAGAGCCAGCGCTGTCCGAAGACTTTCCCCGTGGTCATATGGCCGGCATGACTAAATGCCGAGGTTCACGGAATGCTGTTACCTTCCCATCGAAGCGGTACCTATTTATCTACTTGCAATTTCTTGCTTTCGAACTGCTGGGTTGGCAGGAGCTGGGGCCAGAGACGGGAGTCTTTAAAAGTTATAAATGCCTTAGATTTCTACCAACAAAGTTGCAAATATATCCAATACTTGGGAGAGAACTGCAAGCTGATGCACCTTATGTGACCTTAGCACATCTACCTTAATTGTTGCTATCTGGCTAGAGAGCTCAGTTCTCAATTAAACTTTCAGAGTTTTCCTCTGAGGCTTTGCTGCAGTTTCTGCCCCACCTGCTTCTGATCACTTCCCCTCCAGCAAGGTAGGGCAATAAGCTGGGGTTTTTTTACCCAGTCTGTGGGTGTATACCTCACAGTGATTGGAGAGAAAGGGGAAAGGTCAAACACAAGGTCAACCACAAGTCAGGTCAAAGGACCACAAGAACTAATCACTGGTACAGCCCTTCCTGCCCTTCCTCTCACAATCTGCCTAAGCATTGCTGTCAGATGGCCATTCGGCCTCTGCTTAAGCACCTCCAAAGAAGGAGAGCCCACCACCTCCCGAGGAGGAAGAAGAAGAAGAGGAGGAGGAGGAGATTGGATTTATACCCCGCCCTTCACTTGGAGTCTCAGAGCGGCTTACAAACTCCTTTCCCTTCCCCTCCCCACAACAGACACCCTGTGAGGTGGGTGGGGCTGAGAGAGCTCTGACTCAAACTGCTCTTTTTCAAGGACAGCTGTGCCAGAGCTTGTGACTGACCCAAGGTCCCATCAGCAGGTGCAAGTGGAGGAGTGGGGAATCAAACCCGGTTCTCCCAGATTACAGCCCGCACACTTAACCACTACACCAAACTGCTCCAACTGTCAGGAAGTTCTTCCCATTGTTTAGCCGAAAACTCTTCTGATTTAATTTCAACCCGTTGGTTCTAGTACGACATTCTGGGGCAACAGAACACAACTCTGCACCATCCTCTATAGGACAGCCCTTCAGGAACTTGAAGACGGTTATCATATCACCTCTGAGTCGTCTCCTCTCCAGGCTAAACAGACCCAGCCCCTTCGACCTTTCCTCATAGGACTTTGTCTCCAGACCCCTCACCATCTTCGTTGCCCCCCTCTGGCCTGGAGAGCAATTGCTTCCTGACCCCAAAAGGGGTGATCAGCATTTCCATGGGCGTGTAAGAAAGGCCCACAAGAACTAAGCACTGCCCTCCCTCTCATGATCTGCCCAAGTCCACACAAACAGCATTGCTGTCAGATGGCCATCTAGCCTCTGCTTAAACACCTCCAAAGGAGAGCTCACCACTCTAACTGTCAGGAAAGATACCTGATCTTATGAGGAGAGAATTGCAGGGCTTTCAGCAATCTCAAAAACAAACAAGCAAACAAATATGTAAAAACAAACAAGCAAACAAATATGTAATCTGGAAATATATTTTTATACAAAGATCCCCCCCCCTTGCTATATTCCCATTGGGTTTGCAAGGCAGGAGACGGACAGAGAGGAGGGTTTGGTTTGGTTGGCCATTGCCTGCCTCTGCGTAGTGACACTGGGCTTCCTTGGTGGTCTCCCATCCAAGTACTAACCAGGGCCGACCCTGCTGAGATTCCGGGATCGGATGTGGTCAGGCTTGCCTGGGCCATCCATGTCGGGGCATACAGGGAATAGGGCTGTAGTAAAATGCACTTTTCCTGGAGGAAGTTTTTACAAAGGACAGGAGCCGTAGTTTATGCCATTGTTTATTGGATGCATTTCTTGGGTTTACCGTGCCGATGGATTCATTATTGTAGGGCAGTGGTATAGCCAGGAGATCTGAAGGTTGTCTGGCAGCCTGAAACTCTAGCTCTTTTTGTGGTGAGCTAGGTTTATTTTTGGGAACGTCTCTTGCCTGGTTCTCCCAGCTCTTCTCAGCTGTGGGCTGAGAGAACCGTGACTGACCCAAGGTCACCCAGCTGGCTTCATTGTGGAGGAATGGGGAATTGAACCCGATTCTCCAGATTAGAGTCCGCCACTCTTAACCACTACACCAAACTGCTCTGTTTTCTAATGTCCGTAAACCAGTTTTTTGCATTTCTTATGTCATGTCTTATCAGGCTTGCCAGTCAACCAGTCAGGGCAGGGGATCTCCCGTCCCCGGCTGCTGTTGCCTGCTGCTGCTCCAAGCTGTGGCGGAGGGGGGAAAGGCCGGTGTTGCATATGCTATTACATCACTTCCAGGGAAAACCTGGAAGTGCTGCAGGGGAGTTCTCGGGGTTGCTGGAAACTCTATGGTTTTACCCTGGAGTTTCTGGCGATTCTTAGATCTCCCCAATGTAATTTCCAGGATTTCCCCAGAACTGACACAGCAGTGCATGCGGCATCATGTCCCCCCCAAACCTCCTGCTAGTCGCCATCCATGGCCTTTCAACTCGTCATGTTATATTGTTTTTAGAAGAAGAAGAAGAAGAGATTGGATTTATACCCCACCCTTCACTATCCAAAGGTGTCTCAG